CATCTTCAGGAAAAAGCAAAGTCCAATTGCCTTTTGAAAAAGCACCTTTGGGACCCCTTGATATTTCACAATGTTTAATTGATTAGACCTGGGGCCCCTAATTTTACAGAAAAAAAAAATCCTGCTTGGAATTGACTATATCCTCATATGCAATTTTCAAAGTTCCTAGGTCCTTGGTTAGGACTTGAATTATTACATTTTCAACAGTCTTTGACTGTGAATTTAATTGTAGATGACCCATCTAATACTACTTGGATTGTTACATATACCAAACCAACGACAGCCTAGCTCGAAGGTCTTCAAACTTGACAGCTTTAAGACTTGTGGACTTCAACTCCCAAAATTCCTGAGCTAACATGACAGGAAGAGAAATTCTGGGAATTGAAGTCCACAAATCTTAAAAGCTGTCAAGTTTGAAAACCCTTGGCTTAGCTTCTACGAAGCATATGAAGGCCAACACTAGCTAAAGAAGTAGCAGCTGTGACTTTGCATTGTGAACAGATGATCATAATAATAGAAAAGTCATAAGCAATGAAGAAGCTAAAGTGCTCTGGGACTTTAGAATTCAAACAGACAGACACCTGTCACGTAACACCCCGGAATTAACAATTGTTGATAAAGAACAACAATAAAGTCTGAATAGTGGACGTGGCAGTACCTGGAGACAGCAGAAGACCGTAGAAAGGAAAAAACTGGAGAAGATAACAAAATACAAAGGCCTGCATTTGAAACAGAAATATTTATCTATAGAGAAATAGAAAGACAGGGGCAAAAGAAAGCAAAGATAGTAACAATTGTAATAGGTGCCTTGGGATTCAATCCCAAAACAATTGGAACATCATTTGAACACCATTGGCATTGATAAAAAAAGAGCAACAAAGATGATTAAGGGACTGGAGGCTAAAACATACGAAGAACAGTTGCTGGAATTGGGTATGTCTAGTTTAATGAAATGAAGGACTAGGGGAGACACGGTAGGAGTCTTCCAATATCTCAGGGGTTGCTACAAAGAAGAAGGAGTCAAGCTATTCTCCAAAGCACCTGAAGGCAAGCAGTCGATGGAAACTATGCACCAAGACAAATTCCTTGTGTGTCCAACCACACTTGGCCAATAAAGAATTCTATTCTATTAAAAAAAAAAGAATCAAGGAGAGAAACAACCTAGAAGGAGAAATTTTCTGACAGTGAGAACAATGAATCAGTGGAACAACTTGCCTCCAGAAGTTGAGGATGTTCCAATACTGGAAGCTTTAAAGAAGAGATTGGACAACCATTTCTCTGAAAGGGTATAGGGGGTTGGACTAGAAGACCTTCAAGATCCCTTCCCACTCTGTTATTCTATTCTATTTGCTGGGAACAACTTACATCTTGGTATGAAAATTTCAACACCATCAAACCTCCACATCTGCCTATCCCAGGTCCTTGGGAGGTACTCGATAGGTGCATAAAAATGCCAAATCCATTCTGAACATTTGGCTGACTGTGAGACCAACCATAATAACAATTTATTAAATAAGTATCCTACCTGACTTCCAGCAACTCTGGGCAGTTTACAATGAAGTGAGATAAAGAGAGATCTGACTTTCAATGGCATTTCCCCCCCACAAAAAAAAGTTCTTTCCCCCTTGTCTTTTGAGTATTTTGTCATCACCTTCTCATTTACCCACTGTTATACTAATGTGTCTTCCATGATTTCATGGAGAGGTGTGTTGCTGTTGTTGCTGTTGTTGTTGATTTGCAGTTTTTGTCTTGCCTGTCATCCAGACAATCTGTGCGTAGCGTAAGCTTCTCTACAACTGGGTTCGCTTTTGATGAGGTCATGGAAATGCTTTCTTAGTGACGGTGCCAACAATGTGGACGTGGCTTGCCATTGATCCCTTCTGGAATGTGGTTTTGACTTCTCAGTCTAGCCAGTAGTCCTGGAATTTTGTGGTAGTGTCCAATCCATGTAGCAATCGTAAGGAACCCTTCTTTTTTGCATTATATACCAATAAAGGAAAATATTTGTAGCTCAGAGTTGAAATGAGGGGGTCCTTGGTGCTCTCTGAACTTGGTGGTTTTTCTTGCAGACGCTTCCTTACCAAACTAGGTAACATCATCAGTTCGTGGCTTGGTAATGAAACATCTGCAAGAAAAACCACCAAGCTCAGAGAGCACCAAGGACCCCCTGATTTGCATTATAGGATGACTGTCTGTGGATGGTCATTGAACAAATAAAAACTGCAAAAGTCAGCCCAAGTTTGCCTTGAGCTGGGCTAAAGAGATTGTTCCTATTAATGCACTTTTTATCTTCCATAAAGATGAAGAAATAGCAGGCTATTGTGCCATTTAGCTATTAGGGTCATCACCAGTGAAAGGAATATTGTCTGGAATCTCTCTGAATTCCCCATTCTGATAATTTCAGATGGATGTCATAGTTTTGCAGCAGTCATCCAAGAAGGGGTATCCAGAGAATGTGATTAAGGAAAGTCAAGATGATGACTATGGGATATTTAGATTAGATTAGATTAATAGAGTTAGAAGGGACCTTGTAGGCCATCTAGTCCAACCTGCCACCCAAGTAGGAGACCCTACACCAAGGGTCTTCAAACTTGACAGCTTTAAGACTTGTGGACTTCAACTCCCAGAATTCCTAAGCTAACATGACTGGAGGAGGAAGTCCACAAGTCTTAAAGCTGTCAAGTTTGGAGAGCCCTGACTTAATTCCTTAGAACGGTGTTTCTCAACTTTGGCTACTTTAAGGTATGTGGACTTCAACTCCCAGAATTCCGGGAGTTGAAGTCCACAAGTCTTAAAGTTGCTAAGGTTGCCCTCTACAACCATACATCAATGTCCAGCCTCTTCTTGAAAGCCTCCAGGGATGAAGCTCCCACAACTTCTGAAGGCAACTTCTTTTCCATTGGTTGATTGTTCTCACTGAAAGAAAATTTCTCCTTATTTCTAGGTTGAATCTCTCCTGGATCAGTTTCCATACATTATTCCGGGCCTTTGGAAAATAGCTTGACCTCTTCCTCTCTGTGGCAGCCCCTCAAATATTGGAACACTGTTATCATGTCTCCCTTGATCCTTCTCTCCACTAGACTATGACCAAAGCTCTGCCTAGTTTGGTTTAGGCATCACCCATGATGTATGTAAAAATGGGCAGAGCTTCGGTGATACCTTAATGGCCAATGTTTTGAGCTTTTTGGCCCATGACTGAAGACATTCCTACATCTCGGTTTCCCTTAATCTGACATCTGACAAATGTACTTATTGGAGTTCCCATGCCACCCTAGTAAGGAAGCTGGTACAATGCAGATACTTGCACTGGAAATGCATTGGACAGAAACTAATCAAGGGGAGAACCAACCCAAGGGGACATTTCCTGACAGTGAGAACAATGAATGAGTGGAACTCATTGCCTCTAGAAGTTGTGGGCGCTCCGTTTGTCTGAAATGGCATAGGGTCTCCTGCTTGAACAGGGGGTTGGACTAGAAGACCTCCAAGGTCCCATCCAACTCTCTTATTCCGTTACCTCCAATCTAAAGGACAGAGCTTGGGTCCATGGGTTTACCCAAATAAAAGGCTACATGTAGTCCTCCACTTCATTTCAACCATTCATTTAGTGACTGTTCAAAGCTACAATGGCACTGAAAAAAAAATGAGTTGTGACCATTTTTTCACACTTACAGTCAACCATTGCAGCAACCCTATCAAAATTTAGACGCTTGGCAACTGACTCGTACTTTTAATGGTTGCAGGCTTCCTGGGTCATGTGATCCCTTTCTGGCCAGCAAAGTCAACAGGGAAAGCTAGATTCGCTTAACAACCGTGTCACTAACGTAACAACTGCAGTGATTCACTTAACAACGGCGGCAAGCAAGGTCGTAAAATGGGGCAAAATTCACTTAACAAATAGCAACATAAATTTGGGGCTCCATTGCAGTTGTAAATCGAGGACTACCTCCATTACATTTATACAACATAATCTGTCTGCTGAATTAGTTCACTCCCTGGGGTTTGAAATGCAAACCCATAAAATCACCAAGATGCACAATCAAACTTAAGAGCGATCTTGCTATGCGGCACAAATACTAAGTCTAAAAACTCCAACCTGTTTGCATACAACCCCAGAGCCCACGGTGCTATATATTAATTTTGACCCCCAACTTGTATTGTTCTGAGAATCAACTTATTATTCAAAGTCAGGTGCTTTTATTTCCCCTAATCTATTTTCTAAGAGAATAGAAAGCCTTGGTGGTCTCCGGCACACGTGGAGGGTTGGGTTGGTAGAATATGGCAAAATGATGCTTTCATTTGAGGTTCGTAGTGGGACAATTCAGGAAAGATGTCAACCCTCCAGATACATTGAGAAGACAACCCTAGATAGGTGGCTGCTTAGCTCACCCTATGCACAGCTTTTATCAACGGGAATAGAGCTGGAAGGGACCTCAGAGGTCTTCTAGTCCAACCCCTTGCTCAAGCAGGAGTCCTTGCACCATTTCAGACAGATGGCTGTCCAGTCTCTTCTTAAAAACCTCCAGTGATGAAGCGCCCGAGGTTTCATCGAGCTGTTCCTCAGGTTAATTATTCTTACTGATAGGAAGTTTCTCCTTAATTCCAGGTTGCTTCCTTAACCCTAACCCTAATCTCCTGGATTAGTTTCCATCCATTGTTTTCAGCCAGAACATCGATAACCATCCATGATTCCAGCCAATGCTTATTAGTCAAACTGGACCTGGTTCAAAGCTTTCTAAATCGCTCCTATAAAAGTGCTCGCAAGTTATGGCATACAAGTATCTCCCCAAACTTCTGAATATGAAAAAAAAGAAGTAGTTCTCATTTCAAGAAACTGCCTCCCAGGATACACACATCACACACACACACACACACAAGTTTACATTTTCACAATAAGGTCCCCAAAACTCCTTCTCTACCAACCATATGCTAAAGACAATCCCTGTTCAATACCGGAAGCGATCAGGGTAAAAATTCATCCTTAAACCAGTAACAAGACTCACATCAAATGGGTGCATCCTTTCCCCAATCTTCTCTCTCGTCCCTTCTTCTCTCTTTTTTTTTTCTCCTCAGTTTTTCTCGGTTTCTTCTGCTTCTCCCTCCTGGGTTTGTGCAGCTTTCTCCCTCTTTGAAGTCATGCTAGGAAATGCGGCAGAGATAGTAAGAAGGAGAAGTGTGGGTAAATCTGCGCAGACAATAAGCCATATTTTTTTTTTCTTTTTCTCATTTCGGTCCAACCTGCTCTTCCAGTTTGCATTTCTTTAACCCAGCAGCTGAAAGGAGATTCACTGGAGCTGAAGCTGCCAAACCAGTCTTGCTATAATACAAAGAAGTGGTCAGACGAGTCCTTCACAAAGTCCACATAGAGATTTGATTGTTTTCCCATAATTACAGCTCAGTGTTGTTGATCAAAGACACTCATATTAACAAAACAATTGCCACTTCCTTCCCCCCCCCACCCGCAAGGGCTCCCGGCTCCCCTTCAATCACTGAACATCAGGAGTAGATGGTTTCTTTTGATAATTTCAATTTTTATATACCAAGCCTAACGTTATCCTATCCAGTTGAACAACCTCCTCAATTTTTCACATGTAGGAAATAATAGAATAGAATGTCAGGATTCCAACAAACCAACTCCAACCCAATAAACTCCGAGACAAGCATTTCCTCAAAGTTCCATTTTATTACAGCTGCCATACTGGCACATCTGGGAAAACCCGAATCTGAGAGTTCCGGATTTTCCCTTCCCAAAAGAAATCCAAAGATCCATCCCCCTGCACCCATCAGTCCATCACATGACCCAATCAAACGTCGTCCAAAATGGAGGCATCCCTCTATTCACTCCAGGTAACTTGACTTCTGAGAACGAATGTTGTTAATCGTCTATGAAATCCCCCCTCCCAAATTCCCAGGGACTAAATATGGCAGCCTGGAAGCTTCCAAGTAAAATATGGTTTCCAAGGCTGACATAGAATAGAGCTGGAAGGGACCGTGGAGGTCTTCTAGTCTAGCCCCTTGCTCAAGCAGGAGAACCTATACCATCTGAGACAAGTGACTGTCCAGTCTCTTCTTAAAAACCTCCAGTGATGCAGCACCCACGATTTCTGAAGACGAGCTGTTCCACTGGTTGGTTGTGCTCATAGTTAGGAAGTTTCTCCTTAATTCCAAGTTGCTTCTCTCCTTGGTTAGTTTCCCTCCATTGAGCACTGCAGGAAGGCTATTTAATGTTTAGTTTACCCATTTTTTTTTCATTGTTCTGAGCCTCAGCCACAAATTTGGAGAAGAAAAATTCTCAAGCAAAAAAAAAAAAAAAAAAAAAAAAGCCCCCCAAAACAAAAAAAAATTTTTTTTACAAATACAGATAGTCTTGGATGTACAACAGTTTGCTTATTGACCATTCCTATTTACAGTGGCACTGAAAAAAGTGACTTATGACTGTTTTTCACACTTATGACCATGGCAGCATCCTCGTGGTCCCGTAATCAAAATGTGGAAGCTTGACAACTGACTCATATTTATGACGGTTGCAGTGTCCTCGGGTCATGTGATCAGACGAACTTCTGATAAGCAAAGTCAGTGGGTAGCCAGATTCTCTTAACAACCAGGTTACTGACTTAAGAATGGCAATGATTCACTTGACAAATGGGGCAAAAAAGATGGTAAAATGGAGCAGATCTCACTTAATAGATGCCTTATTTGGCAACAGAAATTCTAGGCTCAATTGTGGTCGTAACTTAATGTCTACCTGTATAAGAAAGTTCATTGAAAATCCTTCCTTCCTTCCTTCCTTCCTTCCTTCCTTCCTTCCTCCCTCCCTCCCTCCCTCCCTCCCTCCCTCCCTCCAATTTCCTCCCTTCCTCCATCCCTCTCTACTCCTTTCCATTCCTCCTTCCCTTCTTCCCATTTCCTCCCTTCCTATCATTTCCTTCCTTCCCTCCCTCTAATTTCCTTCCTCCAATTTCTTCCCTTTCTCCCTTCCTCCTTTCCTCCCTCCCTCCTCCCCTCTTTCTTTTCTTTCTTCCCTCTCTTCTTCCCATTTCCTTCCTTCCTTCCTTCCTTCCTTCCTTCCTTCCTTCCTCCCTCCCTCCATTTTCCTTCCTTCCTCCAATTTCCTCCCTCCCTCCCTACTCCTTTCTATTCCTCCCTCCCTTCTTCCCATTTCCTTCCTTCCCTCCCTTCAATTTCCTTCCTCCAATTTCCTCCCTTTCTCCCTTCCTCCTTTCCTCCCTCCCTTTTTCTTTTCTTTCCTCCCTCTCTTCTTCCCACTTCCTTCCTTCCTCCTTTCCTCCCTCCCTCCTTCCCTTTTTCTTTCCTTTCCTCCCTCTCTTCTTCCTTCCTTCCTTCCTTCCTTCCTTCCTTCCTTCCTTCCTTCCTTCCTTCCTTCCTTCCTATCATTTCTTTCCTTCCTTCATTCCCTCCCTCCTATTTCCTTCCTTCATTCCCTCCCTCCTAGTTCCTTCCTTTCTTCTTGTCCTGAAGCAGTATTAATTTCTTCTGTAAGTTACATAGCAACCACCAATGAGACGACTTTCCCAGACATAACTTTATCTCTCACCTTCAGGGCCTTTTTGGACCTTTTGGCAAGGATAGAGGCGCCTGAATGTCCTCTATTGTCTTTCATTGTTGAAGTAAATGGCCCGGTTAAAATAGTAGACTGTGGGAAAACACCAGTTAGTTTCACTGCCTTGAAGGGAAAGTATTGATTTCTCTGATGGTTTCAAATCGTGAGACATACTTTGGATCATGCCCTCGGGGTAATTCTTTCACCTCAGACAAATCTTGTTCATAAATTGCCTTAAAAGCATAACAAAAGAATGGCAGTATTCTTCTCTTCAGGAAGAAAAGGCTAGTTAAGAGTCTTGGCAGTTTGACCTTCACTCACTCACAGCTGCCTTTGTTTGTTTTGAAAAATGTCAGCAATAAAGTCAAATCAGAGGCATTGGGCCTGGTAGCCAATGCCTACTCCACTTGGTTCCTGTTTGGTTGGGATCATTCTGAAAAGGAGTGTCAGCTCTACAAGGTAGACCAAACCAGAAAAGCAGCTCCCTAGGAAGACCAGAACTGTATTTTAGGGAAGTAGGCTGGCTACAATAATAGAATCTTGCAAAACTGATGGGGCTGAACCTCCCATCTCTCTTATACCGCAGTGAACTGTTGGAAGAAATATCCTTCTGGGTTCAGTTCCAAGTGGGGGAAAAGACACTGGAAACATGGAGGCGGTTTGGAAGGTGGTTTAATGGTGGACAGCAGGACCACATGGCTTGAAGCTCCAGAGTGAAAGGGAAGGATGATCACATGCTTCAAGGTGAAGGAAGAGATCAAGAAAGGGCTGAGGTGCTGAGAGTGCCTGGGTTTTATAACCTTTGTTGGGATTTGAACTGGAGCTTGTATTCTGATTGGTTGTCAGACTCCCATGGGGCCATGCAGGGGCAACTCTGTAGGCTGTCCTGAGTTCCAGGCTTGGGTGAGCCTTGCTGGATGATGATGCACTGAAAGGGCTTTTGAGCAATTGCTGTAGCTTTACCTGGAGATCTTTGTTATGTAAAGTATTCTGGCCCAGGCCTTAATGGCCCACCCATTAACAAAGGTGGGGGTGAGCTTCTGAGGTGAGTTTCTGTTTCTGAGTTTCTACTCTTTTTAGGGGAAATATTCTGCTTTTTAAATATTTCCTAGGATATTTCATTTTTCTAGGAGAGGGGTGGGTGCTAACTTCCTACAGAACTGGGAAGATTTTTATCTGAATCACCTCCAAATGTTATGTCTATGGAGATAGCAGTGTTCCTGTATTTGAGGGGCTACCACAAAGAAGAGGGAGTCATCAATGGTGGGATTCAATTTTTTTTACTACCAGTTCTGTGGGCGTGGCTTGGTGGGCATGGCGTGGCTTGGTGAGCGTGGCAGGGGAAGGATACTGCAAAATCCCATTTCCTCCCCACCCCCCTAACCTGCTTTCCAGCTCCGTTCTCCCGTGCAGGGCAACACAAGAAGACCCAGCTGATCAGCTGGGACTCGGGAGACAGAGAATAGATGGGGGCGGGGCCAGTCAGAGGTGGGATTTGCCGGTTCTCTGAACTACTCAAAATGTCCGCTACCAGAATCTGCTGAATACCACCTCCAGAGTCAACTTATTTTCCAAAGCACCAGAAGGCAAGAGAAGAAACAATGGATGGAAACTCATCAAGGAGAGAAGCAACCTGGAATTAAGGAGAAATTCCTAAAAATGAGGACAATTAACCAGTGGAACAGCTTGCCTTCAGAAGTTGTAGGTGCTTCATCAGTGGAGGTTTTTAAGAAAAGACTAGACAGCTACCCATCTGAAATGGCATAGGGTCTCCTGCTTGAGCAGGGGGTTGGACTAGAAGACCTCCAAAGTCCCATTCAACACTATTCTGATGGATTATTGAGGCTGTCAGTCATCCAAATCATAGTTGCCCCCGAGGTGGTTTTTTTTTCAGTTTTTCAGTTTTTTCAAAGCTTCTTGAGTTCTTAAGAAGTTTCTCGGATGGGGAGCGAAATGTCTTCAAGGAAAAACAAAGCCATCCAGTTGCCTTTTGAAAAAGACTCCAAACATTATTTTGCTTCCTAGGTCTTAAAAGAATGTTTCAGCTTCCTTTGCCTAAAGAATGGTTATTGCATATTTCCGTCAAAATCATCTCTCTCACTGTTTACAAGGAGTAGAGAGTTGTGGGGTCCTTGGTGCCTCTGAGATTGGAGGTTTTTTTTTTTTTTTGCAGATGTTTCGTTGCCAAACTAGGGAACATCATCAGTGCTGCGTTGATGATGTACCTACTTTGGTAATGAAACATCTATAGTACATTGATGATGTTCTCTAGTTTGGAAATTAAAATGTCTATAAGAAAACCACCAAGCTCAGAGAACCCCAAGGATGATTCCATAGTTCAACTCTGAACTATAAATATTTTCTTCTATGAGTGGAGAGTTCTCACAAAGGGGAAAAATAGATATAGAATTGATAGATGGGGGAAGGACCCAAAGAGTGGAGCTTGATGGTGGATGAAATATCAACCAGTGCTGTAACAACATTCATTCACTCTCACTCTCTCTCTCTCTCTCTCTCTCTCTCTCTCTCTCTCTCTCTCTCTCTCACACACACACACACACACACACACACGTATCATGTTCCTTTGATAATTTAATATATGGAGCAAATTCTCCCAGATACTTGCTTGACTTGCAGAATCAGTGATAAAGTGG